GCTCGCGAAAGTTTTCAGAAATCTTCTAGATATCTATAAAAAAAATTTAGAAAACGCCTGGATGTTTTTTAAAATGTTTAGAAATTACTTATAACCGCCAGAAAATCTTCAGAAAACTTCTGGTAAGACTTAGACATCCTCTAATACTTTGAAAACTCTAGGTAATCTTTACGAATCTTCAGGATATGCTTGGATATCCTCTAAAATCTTAAAAAACCACCCTGGAAATAATTGTAAACCCTAGAAAATTTATAAATCTTCCGGAAATACTTGCAAAACCCAAATCTTTTTTAGAAATATCTATGTATCATTGAAAATAATTTGCATTCTTCTGGAAATACCTACAAAGCCTAACAATTCTAAGATAACTTCTGGAAATACTTGGAAAGCCCAGAAAACCATTTGAAATCTTTTGAGAATATCAAGATATCCTCAAAAATCTTTAGATATCTTCCGACTTTGCTTTGAAAATAATTAAACAGACCTAGAAAATCCTTATAAATTTTCTCGAAATACTTGGAAACCGCCACATTTAAGCCGGGCCGAAACGGGTACTTCGTCACAGATATGCTAAATTATCCGGATATGCTCTTTGCTTTTGCACGGTTGCGGAGTTGCTTTGTCGACGAAGAACTGTTTTATAATTGATCACTAAAACTACATTCTAAAATACTCTAAAAGTTCGTAATCGAATAATTTTAGTATCTTTGAAAATGGTTAGAACTTTTCTGATAATAGAAACCCCAGATAGAATCTTTATAAATCTTCTAGATATTTTTGAGAAAAATATTTAGAAAATTTCTGGTTTTCGGGTATCTAAGAGTTAGATACCCGAAAACTTTGAAAATCCTTCTGGCTATATTTGAGAATTTTTAGAAATCTTTTCGTAATACATGGAAATCCCTGATAATCATTCTAAATCTTTTGGTAATATCTAGACACTAGTGATGGAATGGATAGTGGTTATCCGGTTATCCGGCAAAATTGCAAAATTCGAAAATATTGTCGATCATTTCAAAAATTTATTTCTCAAAAACTAAAAGCGATTTTTCAAAACGGCTTGTTGCATTAAAAAGAGGATACTTTAATTAATAATTGGTGATATTTCCACAAGGATCCTTCAAGAAATTAATTTTATAGCGAATTTTGAAAGTTATCGATGAAAATTGCAACATCGAAAATTTTATCAAAACTTCAAATATTGTTTTCTCAAAAACTAAAAGTTATTTTTCAAAACGGGTTGGTTCATTGGAAAGAGGACACTTTTATTAACACTTTGGGAAATTTTCATACTCATATTCCAAGAAATGGATTTTATACGAATTTTTAAAACTTAATCGGCGAAAATTGCAAAATTCGAAAAAATTGTCGATCATTTCAAAAATTTATTTCTCAAGAACTAAAAGTGATTTTTCAAAACGGCTTTTTGCATTAAAAAGAGGATACTTTAATTAATAATTGGTGATATTTCCACAAGGATCCTTCAAGAAATTAATTTTATAGCGAATTTTGAAAATTATCGATGAAAATTCCAACATCGAAAATTTTATCAAAACTTCAAATATTGTTTCTCAAAAACTAAAAGTTATTTTTCAAAACGGGTTGGTTCATTGGAAAGAGGACACTCTTATCAACACTTTGGGCGATTTTCATAGTCATATTCCAAGAAATGGATTTTATACGAATTTTTAAAACTTAATCGGCGAATATTGCAAAATTCGAAAAATTGTCGATCATTTCAAAAATTTCTTTCTCAAAAACTAAAAGAGACTTTTCAAAACGGCTTGCTGCATTAAAAAGAGGATACTTTAATTAATAATTGGTGATATTTCCACAAGGATCCTTCAAGAAATTAATTGTATAGTGAATTTTGAAAATTATCGATGAAAATTCCAACATCGAAAATTTTATCAAAACTTCAAATATTGTTCTCTCAAAAACTAAAAGTTATTTTTCAAAACGGGTTGGTTCATTGGAAAGAGGACACTCTTATTAACACTTTGGGCGATTTTCATAGTCATATTCCAAGAAATAGATTTTATACGAATTTTTAAAATTTAATCGGCGAAAATTGCAAAATTCGAAAAATTGTCGATCATTTCAAAAATTTTTTTCTCAAAAACTAAAAGACACTTTTCAAAACGGCTTTCTGCATTAAAAAGAGGATACTTTAATTAATAATTGGTGATATTTCCACACGGAACCATTAAGAAATTAATTTTATAGCGAACTTTGACAATTATCGATGAAAATTGCAATATCGTAAATTTTATCAAAACTTCAAATATTGTTTTCGCAAAAACTAAAAGTTATTTTTCAAAACGTGTTGGTTCATTGGAAGAAGGACACTTTTATTAACACTTTGGGAAGTTTTCATACTCATATTCCAAGAAATGGATTTTATACGAATTTTTAAAACTTAATCGGCAAAAATTGCAAAATTCGAAAAAATAGTCGATCATTTCAAAAATTTATTTCTCAAAAATTAAAAGCGATTTTTTAAAACTGCTTTTTGCATTAAAAAGAGGATACTTTAATTAATAATTGGTGATATTTCCACAAGGATCCATTAAGAAATTAATTTTGTAGCAAATTTTGAAAATTATCGATGAAAATTGCAAAATTAAAAATTGGATCGAAACTTCAAATATTGTTTTCGCAAAAACTAAAAGTTATTTTTCAAAATGTGTTGGTTCATTGGAAAGAGGACACTCTTATTAACACTTTGGGAAATTTGCATGCTCATATTCCAAGAAATGGATTTTATACGAATTTTTAAAACTTAATCTTCGAAAATTGCAAAATTCGAAAAAATTGCGATTATTTCAAAAATTTATTTCTCAAGAACTAAAAGTGATTTTTCAAAACGGCTTTTTGCATTAAAAAGAGGATACTTTAATTAATAATTGGTGATATTTCCACAAGGATCCTTCAAGAAATTAATTTTATAGCGAATTTTGAAAATTATCGATGAAAATTGCAACATCGAAAATTTTATCAAAACTTCAAATATTGTTTTCTCAAAAACTAAAAGTTATTTTTCAATACGTGTTGGTTCATTGGAAAGAGGACACTCTTATTAACACTTTGGTAAATTTTCATACTCATATTCCAAGAAATGGATTTTATACGAATTTTTAAAACTTAATCGGCGAAAATTGCAAAATTCGAAAAAACTATCGATCATTTCAAAAATTTTTTTCTCAAAAACTAAAAGTAATTTTTCAAAACGGTTTATTGCATTCAAAAGAGGATACTTTAATTAATAATTGGTGATATTTCCATAAAGATCCATTAAGAAATTAATTTTATAGCGAATTTTGAAAATTATCGATGAAAATTGCAACATCGAAAATTTTATCAAAACTGCAAATATTGTTTTCTCAAAAACTAAAAGTTATTTTTCAAAACGGGTTGGTTCATTGGAAAGAGGACACTCTTATTAACACTTTGGGCGATTTTCATACTCATATTCCAAGAAATGGATTTTATACGAATTTTTAAAACATAATCGGCGAAAATTGCAAAATTCGAAAATATTGGTGATTATTTCAAAAATTTATTTCTCATAAACTAAAAGCGATTTTTCAAAACGGCTTGCTGCATTAAAAAGTGGATACTTTAGTTAATAATTGGTGATATTTCCACAAGGAATCTCCAAGAAATTAAATTTATAGCAAATTTTGAAAATTATCGATGAAAATTGCAACATCGTAAATTTTATCAAAACTTCAAATATTGTTTTCTCAAAAACTAAAAGTTATTTTTCAAAATTTGTTGGTTCATTAGAAAGAGGACAATCTTATTAACACTTTGGGAAATTTTCTTACTCATATTCCAAGAAATGGATTTTATACGAATTTTTAAAGCTTAATCGGCGAAAATTGTAAAATTCGAAAAAATTGTCGATTATTTCAAAAATTTATTTCTCAAAAATTAAAAGCGATTTTTCAAAACGGCTTTGTGCATTCAAAAGAGGATACTTTAATTAATAATCTGAAACTAGACGAAACTGCAGTAAGAGATTTTATATATCGTATAAAATAGTTACAATGGAATAATTCAATGAAAAAAGTTGTATTGGGGTTGATCTTGATTATTATCTATAGCGTCCAACACCTAAAAGGGATACTAATTCCTGTGAATGGTGGAGTACTAAGTAATAGGTTTTCATTCCAACACTACTAGATACCATTGAAAATTTTTAGAAACCTTCTAGACATCATTGAAAATCTTTAGACATTTTCTGGAAATACTTAAAACGCTCAAAAAATCTTTGGAAAACTTCTGGCAACTCTTATACTCAAAACTATAAAAACTCTAAAAGTTCGTAATCAAATAATTTTAGTAAACCATTAAAAAGTAATATTTCAAAACCATTACATCTTCTATTCCAGTACATGTAGTAATAACGCCGGTTAGAAAAAAGCAGTTTTAACGCTTGTAAAAGTCTGAAAGTGATTGAGTTTGGTTCGGTTGTTGTTATTAAAAGTTTAAAATCGTTTCGCGAATAGTTTCAAACGTGAGTGGAGAGGATTGCCGTATAACCGCGGCGTTGTTGCCAAGTCTTTTTTAGTACTAGTAGTGGTGGTGGCGACCCGAGGGCGACCGCGTCCGCGCATAAACAATTTCAATTTATAATTAGCAATAAAAGTTAACTGCGAACGGTAGCGTGGAGGAGCAGCACCAGCAGCACTAGCCCCGGGTATCAACTACAACACGATGACGTCACACTATTTTCCAAGACACCAAAAAAATCCAATCTAATTTAATTAACTTTTTCAAAAATTATTACATTAAATCAAAGCGAGCTAAATGTTATTACCGATAATGTGGTGGTTATTAACGATAATACCATCGTAAACATCTCTTCTTATCACGAAAACTGTTGACAGAACCAAGATGTTAGTTATAATTTTTTTTTTTGGGCTGATAAAGAAATTTAATTTAAAAATCTAATTTAAATTATGATAATCAATGATTGTTTGTTTTTGTTCCAGGAGATATGGTACAAAATGTGGTGGTTGCAATCAAGGTATATCGCCCAGCGATCTCGTTCGAAAAGCAAGGGATAAAGTGTTCCATTTAAATTGTTTCACGTGTCTCGTGTGTCGAAAACAACTAAGCACCGGGGAAGAACTCTACGTTTTGGACGATAACAAATTTATATGCAAGGAAGATTATTTAGCCGGGAACAAAACGTCTTTGCCGGGACACCATCAAGGTAAAACAATTTTTTTTGATTTTGCATCTACGATAAAATCACAAAAATCACGAAAAAATCGTCTCCGTAAAATCGACCTTTACGTTTCACGGTTAGAACTCGAATTCCTTCTTTTTTTTGCTTTTTTCGGGAAGTATAGTGGGCGCCACAATCGCTAGACTGTGACGACAAATTCTACGGTTCGACGCCGACTGAAAGTGAATCTGAACGAATCTAAGATGATTGTTTACGAATTTTTTTTATGAAAGTATTAAAATCGGAGAAACGATTATGCATACATTGCCTCGGCCGCACGGCTAGCTCGGCTTTTTTACATTTACACTGCTTTGACAGCAACACTTCCATATAAACATATTAATACTAAAAATAGCCCAACTCATTGCTTTTTAGATACTCAAGTCAATACAACTGTCTCGACACCTAATACAATCAAATTTAATAAACTTCGTTGGCTTCTTTATAGTCAGTCAAGTATCCTTCGTTGCCTCAGCAACATTGTCTCGGCTTCTTTATAACCTATTCCTTAAAAACAAAGCCGTCTTAGGTTAATAAATCTTTCGTTAAAGAATATCTCATATCTTTTTATAGATATGCTTTCTCACCTGCTTCGGCCGTCAACCTGGTTGCCTCGTCTTTTTGATGACGTATTAACTCCAAATACCATTACTAATTGTTTTTAGATATTCAAGCTACTGCCTCGGCAACTAATGATTCAATCGAAGTTTTGAAAAAAGTGTTGTTCCTTTTTATACTCATGCATACTCCGCTGCCTCAGTAGCAAAGCTGCCTCGGATTAATAAATCATTCATTAAAGAATATTTTATGTCTTTTTATAGTATGTTTTCTTTTCTGCTTCGACAACCTGGTTGTCTCAGCTTTTTGATGCCATATTAATACTGCAAATATCTTTACTAATTGTTTTTAGATATTCAAGCTAATGCCTCGGTAGCACAACTTTCTCAGCAACTAATGATTCGATCGAAGTTTTGAAAAAACGTGTTTTCTTCTTTGCTTCGCAACCTACTTGCCTCGTCTTTTTGATGACGTATTAATACTGCAAATACATTTACTAATTGTTTTTGGGTATTTAAGCTACTGCCTCGGCAACTAATGACTCAATCAAAGTTTTGAAAAAGTTTTGTCCCTTTCTGTACTCATGCACACTCCACTGCCTCAGCAGCAAAGCTGTCTCGAGTTAATAAATCAGTCGTTAAAGAATATTTGATGTCTTTTTATAGTCATGTTTTCTTTTCTGCTTCGGCAACCTGTTTGCCTCAGCTTTTTGATAACGTATTAATACTGCAAATAACTTTAATTATTGTTCTTAGATGTTCAAGTTACTATCTCGGCAGGAAAGCTGCCTCGGTTTAATAACTTTGTTGAAAAATATCTGGTGTCTTTTCTACAGTAATGTTTTCTCCTCTGGCTCGGCAACTTGGTTGCCTCGAAATTGTTACTGTATAATTCTACAAATATGTTTATTTATTGTTTTTAGGTTCTACTGCTTCGTTAATTGTTAGAACATAAATTTTTATGTTATTTTTAATTAGAAATAAAATTTTTTTTATCGCGTTTGTATACTCATGCAGACTCCACTGCCTCGGCTTCTTAAAAACTATCTGTTAAAAAAAATCTAAATGTTGTGCTATAATTATGTTCTCTGTTAAGTCAATCGTTAAAAAAATAGTTGGTGTCATTTTTATAGTCATGTATTCTCCACTGCCTCGGCTTCTTAATAAACCATTTATTAAAAAAATCTAAATCTTGTTCTATAGTCATGTATTCTCTGTTAAGTCAATCGTTAAAAAAATAGTTGGTGTCATTTTTATAGTCACGTGTTCCCTACTGCCTCGGCAGCATAGCTGCCACGGCTTCTTAATAAACCATTTATTAAAATATCTAAATCCTGTGCTATAGTTATGTATTCTTTGTTAAGTCAATCGTTAAAAAAATAGTTGGTGTCATTTTTATAGTCACGTATTCTCCACTGCCTCGGCTTCTTAATAAATCATTTATTAAAAAAATCAAAATCCTGTTTTATAGTTATGTATTCTTCTCTGCCTCGGTAGCTAAGTGGCTTTAGCTTCATGTTAACTTACTCGTTAAAAAAATATATGATTTCATTTATAGTTATGTATTCTCCACTGCCTCGGCTTCTTAATAAACCATTTATTAAAATATCTAAATCCTGTTCTATAGTTATGTATTCTCTGTTAAGTCAATCGTTAAAAAAATAGTTGGTGTCATTTTTATAGTCACGTATTCTCCACTGCCTCGGCAGCTCAGCTGCCTTGGCTTCTTAATAAATGATTTGTTAAAAAAACCTAAATCCTGTTTTATAGTTATGTATTCTTTCCTGCCTCGGTAGCTAAGTGGCCTTAGCTTCCTGTCAACTTACTCGTTAAAAAAATAGATGATTTCATTTTTATAGTCATATATTCTCCACTGCCTCGGCAGCACAGCTGCCTCGGCTTCTTAATAAACCATTTGTTAAACAAATCTAAATCCTGTTGTATAGTTATATATTCTCTGTTAAGTCAATCGTTAAAAAAATAGTTGGTGTCATTTTTATAATTACATATTCCCCACTGCCTTGGCAGCATAGCTGCCTCGGCTTCTTAATAAACCATTTAATAAAAAAATCGAAATCCTGTTCTATAGTTATGTATTCTCTGTTAAGTCAATCGTTAAATAAATAGTTGGTGTCATTTTTATAGTCTCGTATTCTCCACTGCCTCGGCAGCACAGCTACCTCGGCTTCTTAATAAATCATGTGTTAAAAAAATCCAAATCCTGTTTTATAGTTATGTATTCGTTTCTGCGTCGTCGGTAGCTAAGTGGCCTTAGCTTCATGTTAACTTACTCGTTAAAAAAATAGATGATTTCATTTTTATAGTCATGTATTCTCCACTGCCTCGGTTTCTTAATAAACCATTTGTTAAAAAAATCTAAATCCTGTTCTATAGTTATGTATTCTCTGTTAAGTCAATCGTTCAAAAATAAAAGGTGTCATTTTTATAGTCACTTATTCTCCACTGCCTCGGCTTTTTAATAAATCATTTGTTAAAAAAATCAAAATCCTGTTTTATAGTTATGTATTCTTTTCTACCTCGGTAGCTAAGTGGCCTTAGCTTCATGTTAACTTACTCGTTAAAAAATAGATGATTTCATTTTTGTAGTCACGTATTCTCCACTGCCTCGGCAACACAGCTGCCTCGGCTTCTTATTAAACCATTTGTTAAAAAAATCTAAATCCTATTCTCTAGTTATGTATTCTCTGTTAAGTCAATCGTTAAAAAAATGGTTGGTGTCATTTTTATAGTTACGTAAATTCCACTGCCTCGGCAGCATAGCTGCCTCGGCTTCTTAATAAACCATTTAATAAAAAAATCGAAATCCTGTTCTATACTTATGTATTCTCTGTTAAGTCAATCGTTAAATAAATAGTTGGTGTCATTTTAATAGTCACGTATTCTCCACTGCCTCGGCAGCACAGCTGCCTCGGCTTCTTAATAAATGATTTGTTAAAAAAATCTAAATCCTATTCTTTAGTTATGTATTCGTTTCTGCCTCGGTAGCTAAGTGGCCTTAGCTTCATGTTAACTTACTCGTTAAAAAAATAGATGATTTCATTTTTATAATCATATATTCTCCATTGCCTCGGCAGCACAGCTGCCTCGGCTTCTTAATAATCCATTTATTAAAATATCTAAATCCTGTTCTATAGTTATGTATTCTCTGTTAAGTCAATCGTTAAATAAATAGTTGGTGTCATTTTTATAGTTACGTAAATTCCACTGCCTCGGCAGCACAGCTGCCTCGGCTTCTTAATAAACCATTTATTAAAAAAATCTAAATCCTGTTTTATAGTTATGTATTCTTTTCTGCCTCGGTAGCTAAGTGGCCTTAGCTTCATGTTAACTTACTCGTTAAAAAAATAGATGATTTCATTTTTATAGTCATGTATTCTCTACTGCCTCGGCAGCACAGCTGTCTCGGCTTCTTGATAAACCATTTGTTAAAAAAAATCTAAATCCTGTTCTATAGTTATGTATTCTCTGTTAAATCAATCGTTAAATAAATAGTTGGTGTCATTTTTATAGTCACGTATTCTCCACTGCCTCGGCTTCTTAATAAATGATTTGTTAAAAAATCTAAATCCTATTCTATAGTTATGTACTCCCTGTTAAGTCAATCGTTAAAAAAATAGTTGGTGTCATTTTTATAATCACGTATTCTCCACTGCCTCGGCAGTACAGCTACCTCAGCTTCTTAATAAACCATTTATTAAAAAAATCTAAATCCTATTCTATAGTTATCTCTATTAAGTCAATCGTTAAAAAAATAGTTAGTGTTATTTTTATAATCACGTATTCCTCACTGCCTCGGCAGCACAGCTGCCTCGGCTTCTTAATAAACCATTTATTAAGAAAATCTAAATCCTGTTCTATAGTTATGTATTCTTTTCTGCCTCGGCAGATAAGCTGCCTTAGCTTCATGTAAACTCAATCGTTAAAAAAATAGATGATTTAATTTTTATAGTCATGTGTATTCTCCACTGCCTCGGCAGCATGGCTGCTTCGGTTTCTTAATGACGTNACTGCCTCGGCAGCACAGCTGCCTCGGCTTCTTAATAATCCATTTATTAAAATATCTAAATCCTGTTCTATAGTTATGTATTCTCTGTTAAGTCAATCGTTAAATAAATAGTTGGTGTCATTTTTATAGTTACGTAAATTCCACTGCCTCGGCAGCACAGCTGCCTCGGCTTCTTAATAAACCATTTATTAAAAAAATCTAAATCCTGTTTTATAGTTATGTATTCTTTTCTGCCTCGATAGATAAGCTGCCTTAGCTTCATGTTAACTCAATCGTTAAAAAAATAGATGATTTAATTTTTATAGTCATGTGTATTCTCCACTGCCTCGGCAGCATGGCTGCTTCGGTTTCTTAATGACGTAATAAAATTGAAAATACCGTTACTTATCGCCGTTTTTGGC